AATATATCTTGCAGAAAAGATTGCAACTAGTCAGCTTATGTTGATTTTAAAATCTTTTTCGTATCTTTTTCGTTCCAGAAAGAGAAAAATATCGAGAGCGCGGTCTTGCTAGGCCGGGACTCGAACCCGGGTCTTTCGCTTGCCGGGCGACTGCTCTAAACCACTGAGCTACCTGACGCTCCACGCTCACGACACTGTCCTCTTCCTAGATAACGCTCAAAGATGCTGTTCGGAAGTGACATCTCTGGCGCGATCCCGAGCGCACGGCGACTACAGAGAGAAACAATGTTACTGTACCAAATAGTACAGCTGTCAGTCTCTCAAAGTCAAAAGTTGCTATCCTTTAAGACCTGCTGTTCATGTATGCCCGTCTCCACCGTTACCTCTCCTCATCCGGTGCAAATAATACAAATAAGCCCCGGGGTCGACACCAATTTTTTGGCATCCCCCGGGTGCTTGGACGCAATGCGCCATGGGGGATCCACCCCATTTTCTTGCAAAATGACGTTATGATAACGTTTAATTTATCATATTATAGAGGAATTTCTTTTTCAAATAAAAAGATAAGGTTGCTATTCTTATAGATATATTTTCATATAATAATCAATTTAAACAATAATGGGAGATATGATCACCCATACAGCACAGAAGCTTGCAGCAATATTCCTACAAAGTTGCAACATTGCATATTGTAAAGATATTGTAATGACATTAATTTGAAATATTACTTTAGCAATATTACAGCAATATTTAAAAAACGTTACGAATATAATATAATATTTTTTTACTTCTTTATTAGTTATTTCTGTTACCCAATAAGCAAACAATATTTAAAAAAACATTTTTAAAAAATTTGAAGACATTTTTAAAACGTTAAACATAATGGAATAAGTTCTCTTTTTTCATTAAAATAACGTTTTTAATGTTATTTTAACGTTATTTGGAAGATTGTTTTATTTTTTAATATTTAATGAACATTTATTTTAACATTTAAAAACGTTTTTCTAAATGTTAACATTTTACATTTAAAAAATATTTTCTAAATGTCAAAATAAACATTTATTAAATATTAAAAACCAAAATATTTTTTTACTGAGTAAATTTTTATGCGTGAAAATAGTGAGAAATCAAATAAAAGAGCTAAATTTCATTTAAAATCAACATAAGCTGACTAGTTGCAATCTTTTCTGCAAGATATATTTTTCCGCAGTCATTTTGATGTCTAAAAACGTGACGTTAAATACACGTCTTTAAAGGACATTACTGATCAATAGTAACGACATATGGGGTGCTTTCCAGTTGCAATGCTTTCCAGTTGTAGACACTTTCATGCACACGGCGACACAAATTACATTCCAATTGTCGTAAACGTTGACACAACACTACGCATCCGTGCTCAGCTCGAGGGCTACTAGTCGTTTGTGTAAACTAGTGACAAGTTTTCTAGTGACAATTAAAGTTAATAAGCATGACGGCTTGAGAAGAAGTTGGCATTTGCGAAGTGAAGTGTATAATATCTTATTTATTGAAGATAGTAAAAGTATGGACAACAAAATACCAAGGCATAGGCATAGTGTTGAAAAATAATCCTACTCGACATACGTACACATTAGTACACACTTTGTTCCAATCGAGTCGTACACAATGTTACACTTTATGCATTTCTGTGTACGTATGTGTCAAAATGTGTTAAGCAATTGGAAAGCACCCATTGACGTCAAAATAACGACAGCTTGCTGCCTGAGGAGATATTTCAATATATTTTTAAAAAACATTTTTTTAGTTACTTATTAATACATTATTTCATCAATTATTTAAAACAAGTACGTTATTATCTTCCCAGATAGCACAGAAAATTAAAAAAGAATTCAGTTGTATGTCACCAATTCTGAATTCATTTTTAGATGCAAAAATAATTTTTTTTACTGAACTGAACTTTGAAGAATTCCTTTTGCATCTGAAAATTAATTCAGAATTGTGACACACGGTTGAATTATTTTTTAATTTTCTGTGCTATCTGGGTTAATATTTACGCACAGCATATACGACTCATACTAAATTTGACTAATATAAATTTTTTTAGTACAAATGACTCATATAGGTTGATTATTATCCGATCTTACGTTTGGCCAACATAAAGAGATGATTGTTGCTTGTGCGAATAAAACTCTGGGATTTATTTAGATTTATTTATTTTAGTTATTTACCGTTCGGGGTTAACATCAAAACTTGTCGATTTGCACCGAAACATTTGGGGATCTAATCTGAAAGATTGAATGTTAACACTTAAAATTAGGAGTAAGTATTAAAGCTTGGGGGTTGACACCGAATCTTTTGAAGTTTACCTTGAAAGTTTCAGGTTCAATACTACTCATTGAGAGTCAACACCGAAATTTGAGGGTTGACACCGAATCATTTGGGGTCTACCCTGAAAGTTTCACGTTCAACACTATTCATTAAGAGTCAACACCAAAATTTGGGAGTTGACACTAAATCATTTGGGGTTTACCCTGAAAGTTTAAAGATCTACCCCCAAATTTTGAGGGTTAACATCCAACTTTTGTGATCTACCTTCAAATTTGGTGGTCAACCCACAAATTTGAAGGTTAACCTTCAAAATTTCGGGTTTTCTTTTTATAAGGGAAGTACCAAATTAAAGGCCTTGATAAGCTGATATAGAGATATAAGTTTTAGAGCTGCCCAGTAGTATGCCATTCCAACACTACGGTCCAAAAGAGTTCCAAATTTTAGACTACTTTCTTCATGTTTCTTTCATTTCATTTCAAAAATTGAATTTTGTTTGATCTAGCTTTTAAAATAGTTAAGCAAAAACAATTTTAGTATTTTTAATGTTTTAGAGTAGGTTAAGGTGCGTTTTGGAATTTTCTACTTCCGATCAGTTTGGACCATACTATTTATACTATTAAATTCTTCATTTAATTTTATTAAATGTAGCATTTTAACATTTTAAAATCCGTTAAGTTTTGCTAAAGAAACATCAGTTTGAAAGTAGCCTAAAATTTGGGAATTTTTTAGATCGTAGTATTGGAACGGTACACTGGGCGACTCTAAAACTTTTATCTATGTAATCAGCTTATCAAGATCTTTAATTTGGTGCCCATTTTAAGTACATTTTTTACTGCACAGAAATGGGGCACATGGCCTATGGATCAGTGGTATCACTCTTGGTGCCGCTTCTTGTATATTTTCATTATTTTTAAAGTTTTCTTATGAAATATTTTTTATATACTTTATTATAAATTTATTTATGTTCTCTACCTTACATGTCGAAAAAACCTAAATTGCATTTATTTCATGTGTGATATATTATTATACACAATATATTACTATACATAAATATTATGATAGATGGTATTATGTAGAAGTAAGACTCTTTTTTTCTTACTAGAGTTCGTATTCTTAATATATAACATATTTTTATAAATTGATAATATCTATTAGGTGGTAAACTTAGTTCCTGCGGCTCACAGTTAGATGACGTTAGTTGTAGGTGTAATTTATTTTGATATCTGAAACTGACTGCATTTTAGAGGTTAGACATTTGTCAATAAAATTCAGTGCGAAGAGATTCATTTAAGCGAGCAGTGCTATTTTTTCTTTTGATTAAATATGGAACGTGATAAGTTGTTTTTTCGACATGTGCTGCTTCATTACTTTGACTTGAAAAAAACTGCAGCTGCAGCTCATAAATTGCTTTTCGAAACTTATGGCAATTATGCTCCATCGGAAAGAACATGCCAAGTATGGTTTCAGCGATTTAAGAGTGGTGATTTTGATGTCAATGATAAAGAACGCTCAGGCCAACCGAAAAAGTTTGAAGACACCGATTTGCAGGCATTATTGGACGAAAACTCTACTCAAACGCTCCAAGAATTGTCTGCAGCATTAAATGTTACTCCGATGGCTGTTTCCAAACGTCTACATGCAATGGGAAAAATTCAAAAGGAGGGAAAATGGGTACCACACGAATTAACCGCAAATGCCATTGCGAATTGCTTAAACATTTCTATTTCTCTGCTCGCAAGGCAGAAGAAGAAGAGTTTTTTGTGGCGCATAGTGACTGGCGATGAAAAATGGATATACTTCGATAATCCTAAACGAAGAAAATCATGGGTAGACCCTGGCCAACCATCGACATCCACACCAAAGAGAAATATTCATGGCCACAAAGCAATGCTTTGCATTTGGTGGGATATGCACGGCGTCGTTTATTATGAGCTACTCAGACCGAACGAAAGTATCACGGGGGATCGATATCAATCACAATTAAACCGTCTGAATGAAGCATTGTTGGAAAAAAGGCCAGCAGTAGCCAGCAATCGACGTAAAGTCATGCTTTTGCACGACAACGCTCGACCACACGTTGCCAAAGCCGTCAAAGAAACACTGATGCAGCTCGAGTGGGAAGTTCTCCCGCACCCAGCGTATTCACCAGACTTAGCTCCTTCGGACTATTACTTGTTCCGGTCGTTGCAGCACGGCTTGGTGGATATACACTTCAGAAATTACGAGGATGTGCGAAAATGGATCGACGAATGGATTGCATCAAAAGACCAATCGTTCTATCGTCGCGGAATCTACGCGTTGCCCGAAAGATGGGAAAAATGTATAGCTAGCGAGGGAAAATACTTCGATTAATGTATTTTTTGCTTTTGATGTTGAAATAAATGAGTTTTTTAAACAAAAAACCGCAGGAACTAAGTTTACCACCTAATATCTTATTACAAATGTCTAATAATAGTTTATAATATAATAGCTAATATATTAAGGAATATGTTGTATGTATGCTATTAATACAATTATAACTAATAAAAGTAACAGTTATAATTGAATATTATAATATTTTATATAAAAATATAAAATTAATTTTATCTTATCAAAAAATTTGTGTGCTAAGTTTTTAATTTTTAACAATACTTTTTATGCTGAAAGACAAAGTTTAACAATTACTTATTAGATGGTATAAATTATTTTTACAGAAAATTAAACCTACCATCGTATTACCGGCGCAGGGAGGTTCGGAGATATGTCATTTTTGCAATAAAAGGGTTTATCTAATGGAGAGACTTAGTGCAGAAGGCAAATTCTTTCATCGTGGTTGTTTCCGATGTGAATATTGTACCATTTCGTTAAGAATAGGTAATATTTTTTTCTTTTTATCTATAACACTATGATATGTTTTAATCTCAATATCTAAATGTATAATTAAAATTCTACAGAATATCTTGTATATTTATTTTATTGAGATTTGATTAATTAGAAATTTGTAAAGTGCATGAAATTTATAACAAAGAAATAACAACATGAAATTTATAAACAAAGAAATAACATAAATTCATAAAAAGCAAATAATGTAAAGATCTTTATTCAACATCTTATACTAACAAGGGGAACACCAGTTGACTGTTTCGGGGATTTTTATGCATTTTTGACAGGCTGTTCTTGGGCGAAAAAACGATACGTGTTCGGCCGTTTCAGCCAATGGGCCATTGTTTCGAAGAAATTGATTTTTAAAATAACTCTAATCGGTCGCGGTACACTTGATACGTTCTGTCATCATTATTGAACAGCAGCAGCGGTAGCGCAGTAGGTAAGACATTTGCTTCGTATACAGTAGGTTGCGTGTTCAAATCTCGTCTCGTATATTTTTTTTATTAAAAATTTGTTCTTATCTATAATTATTTATATTATTTATATTATTTATTGTAGATATATACGAAAAAGATTTATTTAATTATATTAATATATTTTTCTTGAAAATAAAATTTTAAAATGTTTAAATAATTATTGTAATAATTTGAAAAATCTGAACAAAAAAATATTATTATCTTTATAAATTTCATTTTAATTTAATATTATTAATTTTTATTACTTTTTGATTCTAATGAAATTTTATAAATTTACAAATTAATACATAATTAAATATTCATGTATGGAATAATTATTATTACCGTCGTTGTCGTTGTTGTTATTCATATGGACACATAAATAAAAATGTAAGAAAAACTTGAGTGATCACGAGCTACAAGACGAAAATTTTCTCAAATAATACAGAATCGTTAAAGAGTGACATGTCGGCACAAGCTTCATAACCTTTGTTTATCATTGCACGATTGATAAAAAAAAAAGAAAAATAAGACAACAAATAAGAGAACAAATTATCTACTAATTTGAAAATTTATAAACTTTCATTACAATCAAAAAGTAATAAAAATTAATAATATTAAATTAAAATGAAATTTATAAAGATAATAATATTTCTTTATACAGATTTTTCAAATTATTGCAATAATTATTTAAAAATTTAAAATTTCATAAAAATATAAAAAAATATATCAATATAATTAAATAAATAATCTTTCGTGTATATCTACAATAATATAAATAATTACAGATTAGAACAAATTTTTAATAAAAAATGCACGAGACGAGATTTGCAACCTATTGCGTACATAGCCAACGTCTTACCTACTGCGCTGCTGCTGTTCGATAGCGACGGTCGTATCGTGTGCCGCAGCCGATTAGAGTCATTTTTAAAAATCGATTTCTTCGAAATTATAGCCCATTGGCTGAAGCAGCTGGACATGTGTTTTTTTCTCGCCCAAGAATAAAAAGCGCATTAAAATTCCCGGAGCAGGCACCTGATGTTCCCCTTGTAAGTATTGAAAAATAAATAATTTTTGTGAATTTATAGATCAACTCTTTCAGTATTATGTTGTAAATCTAATATACAGGGTGTCCCATTTCAAATGCTTTAGACAAAAATCCCGAAAAATATGGAAGATACGGAAAAATGTTTCAGACAAAAGTTATATGGTTCAATGGAGGACATAAGAAGGTACCATTTGACCAAAGTCAGGTCGAGGTCAACTTTGCTTATTTAAATAGAAACATATATTTTTTTATTACGGAATTTTATTCTATGTAAAGAAGCAAACAACTTTTGTTTGAGAAATTTTTTGTACGACTCCTATTTTCTAAGATATTTACGGAAATATCTACAAAATTATTGGATTTAATAATTTTTTACTCGAATTCTATCAACTTTACCGAAAAATAGCAAGAGGTAAAAATTATTTATTTTCTTGTTGCAGAGCTCTGAAAAATTTTTCAGAATTTTTTAATTACTTTTAGTATTATATTTTCTTGCATTTTCTTAAAGTACTAAAAGATTAATTGAAAAATTTTCAGAGCTCTACGAGAAGAAAATAAACAATTTTTATCTCTTGCTATTTTTCGTTAAAGTTGATAGAATTCGAGTAAAAAATTATTAAATCTAATAATTTTGTAGATATTTTCGTAAATAACTTAGAAAATAGAGGTCGTATAAAAAATTTTTTCAAACAAAAGTTGTTAATTTTTTTTACGCGGAATAAAATTCCGTAAGAAAAAAATATATGTTTCTATTTAAAAAGCAAAGTTGACTTTTGAATAACCTTCGGAATGACCACCAAGATCAAAGTCAAGGTCACCTTCAGATGTCTCTCTATAAACCCGATAACTTTTGTCTGAAACATTTTTGCTGAATATACTTGGCTGAAAAATTATGAGGGTGATTTTTTTTAAATGGGACACCTTGTGTGTGTGTGTATGTACATAGGGTATCCCGGATCACCTTCACAATCTCTCGTGAGGACGTAGAGCGGATTGAGATGAACACAAAAATTCCATACCGTTTTACGATATTCGCAATAATAGTCGAAATATTAATTAAATAAATTAGTAAATGATCACATGCGATATGATAGAAGAGCTGCAGTAGTGCCGTCTGCTATCGTATACTTATACATTAAGTCGAACTGAACAAAAAAGTTCTCTACTATTTTGCAAATCACCACATAGATTTTTAGATATTAATTAAAGAAAATTATTACATGATTGTGTATCATAATGTACACATTTTCTTTAATTAATAGCTAAAAATCTATGTGGTCATTTGCAAAATGGTAGATGACTTTTTTGTTCAGTTTGATTTAATATATAAGTATAATGTATAAGCGGTATAATGTATAAGTATAGGGTGCCACTGCAACTTATCTACCATATCGCGCGTGATTATTCACCAGTTTTTTAAATTAATATCTCAACTATTATTGCGAATATTGCAAAATAATATGGGACATTTGTGTTCATCTCAATCCGCCCTACGTCCTCACGAGAGATTGTGAAGGTGATCTGGGACACCCAGTAAATATATATATATATATATATATATATATATATATATATATATATATATATATATATATATATAT